GGATCAAACCCACAAAATTAAATTCTATTTTTGTTAAAAACCAGAAATGTCTCTATATTTTACCTTGGTGATGCAGTAAATAGCAACACTCTATGTGCATAAAATGGTCTTCCTTCCACCAGAAATGTAACATCTGACATCTCTTTGTTGTTAAGAAAATGAGGATCTAGAATCACAAAAAGAAGAAGAAAAAAAAAAAAAAGCCAATAACCTTAGTTTGGAAGAGGTCATGAACGTAGAGTATTTTCCTGTTTTGACAAAAGAAGAGGATAGCGTAAAAGGATATTGTTTTTAATAACTAAAGCTCATAAAGCTATTTTGGACAGCCGGAGACAGAAGCCCCCCAGACAGCCACATGGAGTTCAGACGAAGGGAATTCAAAGCTTTGAAGTCCGTGAGGACCTTTGCTGAGATGACAGCCAGCCGTCCCTGCCATGTGGAGCTGGCACAGCCTCCCAGCTCTGCCACCCAAAGCAAACTGCAGCTGAACGGATGCTGGAGGGCCCTACGCTCATTTATACCCTATCACGCCCCTCTCCTTGTGCCGGAAAGTCTTCGTGCCAAGGGGAAGAAGGTCCTGGAAATTGCTCGGGTCTTCTCTCGGTCACATGAAAACAACCCGAGCTCTGTCAGCAGGGCTGGGAGGGCTGTGCCACCGCGGCACCACCCGCAGCCAGCCACGGCAGTCTGAGATGTGGGAAGATGTTCGGCTCCGGCCCCCAGGCTCGGATCCCAGCCTAATTAGCAACACAGACAAATTTTTGTAGATTTACGGTCCCACTCTAACGCACCTGATGACCCTCCTGATTTCAGCCGGAGTTTCAGGTCAGGCTAAGTTTGGGGCCCTTAGTTTTTCTAGTTCTGCCTTTCAAATTCAGGTTTTTCTCTGACTCATGCCCACCCCAAGCACCCAGCCAGCAACACAGACTTCCCACAGCTCTCCTTGGAGAACCAATGAGTATCTTCAAGTCACACTTACCTAAGCGAGAGGTCTGCTTGCGCTTAATTTCAACGAGCTTTGGAATAGGGTAGGGTCCATAGCAATGAGTGAAAATGACAGAGAGCTGCTGGCTGATCACTTCGTTCTAAGCAAAAGAAAACACATATATGCAATGTAAGCTTAGTACGCAAAGTAAGATCAGTATGCAAAGGAGATGTTATGTTGTTCTCAGGAGTTGTCTGTTTTGAAGCTGAAGAATGTGATTGCTGAAGCTTTATTAAAAAAACAGAGCTTAGGATTATCAGTATTTGTTAGAAACTGCAATTCTCATTTACTCGATTGCTACGTCTCCCATAGGAATCAGTTAAAATGAAAAGTCCTCTCCTTAGATCAGAGGCCGTCTTTTCCCAACAAAGGCCATAGCTGTCCCCTCCATAGAAACAAAGCTCCTTTACAATAGTAATTTCATTTCATTTTCAATCTTACTGTACTGGAAAACAACTTTTTGTTGCTCTTTAGAAAATGGTCATTGGTCATGTTTTAGAAACCCAGAGCTACCGAACAGATAGAGCTGCACAGCCTGCGTGCATTACCTAAGCACAGGAGTCTCACAAACAGACCCTCCCTTGCAGAGTGACAGAAGCATCACGGCCTGTCCCTGAATCTCCTCATTCAATCCCAAATGTTTCATTAATGTGTCCTTATACCACGGGCACCGGCCTGAGCACTGTCCTGAGGAAGCCACCAGACCTTCACAGAGCCAGGTCTGCTCCCTGGCCTTACCCATTTCTGCCCAGACTCCAGGGGCAAGGCACCTGCCCACACAGTATTTGCCTGAGTGCCTAAGCAGCTTGAGTATTCGTATGCCTAAGCTGCAACGATAGTGAAATGGATTTACTGCTTAACTACCTAAGTCACAGCCAAAAGCAGGATTTAAAAGCTTTGGCAAATTCTATTCCACTCTTTGCTGGTAACCGGAGCAGGTCTAGCCAAGTTCAATGGTGCCACGCGGCTAATCCATGATGATGCCTTTTAACTACCCTGTTGGGTGGCAATTCCCTTCCACACCAGGAAACTGTGAAAAGGCGAGGCACTTAGATACGAGAGAGTCCAAGGCCAAGGAAATAAGCAGGTAAGGGAGAAAAATAACCTTAATATAAAAATTTGAGGAGTGTAGATGTACTAAAAATATCTCCAGGCTTACAGAGTAGAAATTGAAGCCTTCCTTTCTCTGAGCACATTTCAATTCAGTTCTAACAGTGGTGCTCCTTAAATCCCATGAGTGATGAGGAGGAGTGGCAGAGATCCTGTAATGACTCCCTTACTGCATCTAATCAAATGGGGTGGGAAAGGGTAGAGCTGTGCCCTCACAGGCACACGCTGATGTCAAAGGAAATTACACGCGCTCGCCCGCAGGCAGGAGTTGGCTCCTATTACTACGTCAGATGTAGCATTAAAAGAAATGCTAAGATAAGAGAAATACTGATACTAAGAGACACCATTTAGCACGGCACAGGGACCAGCCCTCGGAGAGGGGCTCACTGCTGTGGCTCTGAGACAAGGAGGATGTCTCGCACTGGGAGCATCTCTCTGTTCAGCATCTTCCAGCCGGAGCTCTGCAAAGCGCTTCACAAAGGGGGTGAATCACAGGGTGAAGAGAAAAGGAAGATTTAAGGCCAGATTTAAAGAAGGAAGTGACTCAGCCACCGGGAGGGCTGGGGGGGAGAGCTCTAGACAGACAGGGCAGAAAGAGCAATTGCTTCTCTGCTCGGAAGGGCTGTGCTGAAGCGCTGCGGCCGACTGAGTCAGCCAGGGAGGAGCGCGTCCGGGGGGATGCTGATTACCAGCAGGGCAGCTCCCAGTTGGATCCGACAGATGCTAAGAAGTCAGTAAATACAATGGAGGATGGAGTTAATTCTGCGGTTCAGAGTGGAGGGAAGCTTCTGGAGAGGAGAGGCATAATTGGAAGAGCAACACTCACCTTTACCCGCAGTGAATAAAAGCAGAGTAACTGCACTAAAGCGGATAGCTACTGGCAGCTCCCTCTCAAATCTGCCAGGGTGCACAGCTCCTGTCTGTGCTGCTGTGGTTTTAGTGGGTCCATGAACTCACCAGTCCCAGCCACAGCTGTGCCTGGGCAATAGCTTTATAAAAACACACATATAAGTCAATAAAGACAACGCATCTCCTTCTTCCAGGGATGCCCATGGGAATGCACCAATGGAAAGTCTGCGTATCGACCCCTCAGAACCTCATGAGGAGCTGGAGGTCTCACTCACCGGTCCAAGCCACAGCACCGTGTACCAAGACATCCAGGTGCACTGAGACCAGGGAAGAACAGGCCAACCCCAGTCACGCAGGTGCGAGAACAGGATCCCTGCTCATAACTCCAACCAGCACGATGAACAGGTTGTGCATGTGGACAACCCCATGGGAGCCTGCCTACATAGGCAAGGTGCTACCAACTCCCTGGGTCACCAATGGGGCAGAAACCCTGTGGTGTGCAGATACAAGCATAGTGTAAAGCCACCCTGCCACTCACTGCCCACAAGCCTGTGAAAAACCTGGTGTAAACTAAGCTCTAATTAGCTCAAGATGTGATACATTCATGGGAGATGCTTAAAAACCCGAAGACACAGAACAGAAATGGGACAAAGAGAAAAGAGACCTTAGGATCGGTGCATCAAAGAAAGCAGGGCCATCAAACAAACAGTGGCTCGATGCATTGCAGAGTTTCAGAGCTCCAAAACAGGACACTGCTCTCATTTGGCAGACAGGAGGCTGGAGACCTTTGGCTTCTGTCGATAACATTAAATACTTACAACGCATACCACTGAAAGACCAAAAAATCTGCTCGGCTAGAAGGCTGAAGCATGTGCTCAGAGTCATCGCTAACAAACAGCAGCAAGTTTTCCCCCCGAGACACAGGGAGGGGAGCAGTGAGCTATTACAGCAGCGCAAGCTCGCTTCCCACACCACCCTGCACGCAGCCAAGCTCGCAGGGATGTGGCCCTGGATCTGCTCCCTGCAGAGCCTCTGCTGGCTTTCCCAATAAACGAGGCAGAAAGAGGCAGCAAAGAAGAGAGAGAAAAGGGATGCTTTTGTGTGTGACTGGATGGCTGTGGAAAGAAATTGGCTTTTTTAAAGCCAAATCCTGCTCCTGGAGCAGGCTGAGCTGGGCTGCCAGTGAATTAACTGGGAATAACTGCAAGAGTCCCACGACCTGGGGCACCAGCATTGCTCTGGCAGAGAGGAGGACATGTCTAGCCCATTCAGCCTTCCCCTTCGCAAAGTGCCCGCGCCAGGAAGCTCAGAAGCCTCCCTGGTTACCATGTCCATCCCATTTAAGCACCAAGCTGGATAATTCTTCTCTGTTTATCCTACCACCCAACCAGCTGACTGTGAAAGAACAGCTGTAAGAGCTCGTTGCAGCAGTTGTGGGCGGTGATATTAACACTGGAGGAGCAAACTGAAGTTTGTTTTCTTGCTACAGTTTGATGTTGGAAAACATTGTGCCAGGATGTGCGAGGCTGAGATCTGGAGCAAGGCCAGCTTCCTCTCAGACATGGGTGTTCATTCGCAGTCAAAGGGAGATGATGTGCATCTTCTGCTGTGGGAGGGGGAAGAAGGCTTGGCATAGGATACAATAAAAATATTTACCTAGCCATGGGGTAGTTTACAGATAGGCAAGAGGGAACAGGGAACAACAGTGAATCTTCTGAGGGAGACGGTGCTTCCAGCAGAGAGTTGGTCGGTGAGCAAGCAACTTTGCTTTGTAGATACAAGCGGTCTCCTGACTTAAAAGCGTTCTTCAGCAGAGATCTAAAGGAATTCCCCACTCCTGGTGAATGCACTTGAACTGCAAGGGGAATTCATAAATTCTTTTGAAGCAAAGCTGAAGGTTTTCAAGTTGCTGGAGCATAGATGACTAGTTGATTGATCTGAAAAGAGGTGAAGACCTGGGTGGGGAATGCAGGGGTATTTTTTCCTGAATGTCCAACTGATGAAGGTCTGTGGCAGGACTCAGGAAAGGCTCCTCCAGACCTTGGCACATACCCTGGGAGAGCTTGCTCCATTCCAGCTTACCCAGTTCAACCCAGCCCAGCCATTCTGGGATGTGGTCCTACAAGGTACTGGACACAGCTGGGAAATACATAGCCAGTTTTCTCCAGTACCTGCGGAAGATACATGTCATCTTGGTGGCTATACTCCAAACTCTCAAGGGGAAAACTCAGGTTGGATTCAGCAGTTAGGCTAAGGTTTTGCTCTTCTCTGACCACATTTTGCTTCAGCTGCCTCTTCTTCATAGGCTCCCCCATTCCCACACCACATTGCTCTGGACTGCTCAGTTCTCCTTACTGGCCTATAGATATCCCACCACCTCCACGTGGCTGCCTTCTACAGTGGTAACAAGCTAGGCTGCTTTTCTTTGCCTCTGAAATCCCAAGCAGTACTTTGGGTTTTCCTTCTATTGATGTCACCCTCACCAGCTCAGCCCCATTAATGCCGTTTTAACCTAAGTGTACCAGGCCCTCAAATTCCTCTACCACAAAGCCCCAAAAACAAAAGCTCACCACGTTAGGCAGAAAAGAACAGTTATTCTTCTGGGCTCGGTGTCTACCTGTCTCCCCAGCAAGCAGAGAAACCATGCTGCTCAGGGAACAGGGGCACTGGCAAAGGTATCTTTTCTCTCCCTGGTCCTGAGGATGCTGGGGGGACCCAGCTCTCTGCTAAATGCAGAGTGGCAGAAGCACTGTTTCCAGTAACCCATTTCACATGTGGTCCCCACCAGCTGTTCCAGTAGTGGCACAGCCTCAGGATACCCCAAGCCCATTGAGGACTCATGGATGAATTTCCTTCCACGACACACTGGGACACCCTTGAATTATTCCTCTGTTTATGCTCCCCTCTTCCCAGAAAGAGCCGATAAAGAGTGAAGCAATGCAGAGGGCTTTTCGTAGACCCCCAGCCCTGAGCACTCAAACTCTATGAGACTTTCTTCGCCGTCTCTCTGAACCTTTTCCATCCTTGCCTAGGTGTTTCCGCTACGGTCCTCTCGCATAATTCACTTTTGCCAGCTGCCTCAAAACTGATTAAATGCCACTTTAGAGGGTCACTCCTAGATTATTAAGCAGCATACACATA